TGCTCTTCCGATCTAATTTTGTGCGAAAGTCAAAATAATTGCTAGAATATCAAAACATTTTACAGCAATACTTATGTTTTAACACTCCAACAAATTATTTTGATGATTCAACAAAAAATTATTTTCAGATCTGTATTTAGCAAAATTTTTAGATTTTAACAAAATTTTCACAAAATCGTTCTTTCCGTGTACAAATTACGTTAGTGTTACGTTTTTTTATATGATATTGTGTTACTTTCTAACATATTCATCTTATATTAAATTAACAAAAATTTAAGTGGACCGTCCGTAACATTGAAATGTATTGAATTTAACACATATTTTCCAACTGTGTAATTATAAAATCGTAAAAGTAAGAAATGGTAACAAATGAAAGTAGCGGCGATTTATAAATAAATTCACATGTAATAATATTGGAATAACATGCAAATTAATACGCAGAAAAATATTACGTATTTGTGTTAAAAGCGATCCACTTAAATGTGTGTTGAATTTTTATATGAATTTTTACCATCCGAATGTTAATTTAACATAATGTCAGGCATCATCATTATGTTCAATTTGAATATTTTGTGTTAGATTAATTAACATTTATCAATGTTAAAATATGTAACAGAATTTATCAGTAAATGAATAAATAACACGAAACTAATGTAATTTTAAATGTAAATTCTATAGAGATAAATAAAAGATGAATGTACGTGTTAGTTTAACTGAATATTTTAAGTGTCAGTTTTATTGAAGAAATATATATTTCCACAATTTGTTTTCAAATTGTATTAAACTGTTGCATTTTTGTGTAAATTTTTACATGATGTTTGTATTACTTTCTATTTCATTATTTGATAATGATTGTCAGCTAGATATTCTTCGTGTTTTTAATTCGCGATTTTTTTTGTATTGTTGATTTTGTACCGTTGAGAAATTATTTATTCTATTCGTCTGAATAGTAGAGGTTTCCATTAGCTGCATTCCATCTTACTTATGTCAAGCTATCGCATCTGAACGCGATGCAGCGTTATACCTCGAAGTGCAATTAAATGAAGGTGATATTACATAAGCGATTACACATTCCTGAGGATCTATCGCCTTGTCCCATGAAGTGTTTCGTGTGGTCGTTGACGTGCCGTACGTTCTCCTGCACTCTGGAACAATGGCAATCAGACCGAAGAGGCCGCGCATTGTTACCGGCGTGCTTTACGAGCGGCACATATGCTCGAGTATCACCGGGTATGCGATACTCGCCGCATTATGGCACTCGACCGTTCGCGTTCGGGATCACCGGCGAAATCTATCACCGATAATAAATCACCGCCGTTATATCCCCAACCGTATATACGTAACGTTCATTTTCCGTTCTTTCCGAATTTCTCCACTTTCACTGGCTAGCAATTGCGCATCGCCCACAGTTAGACTCGTTATATTTTCTGGTTACTGTCTCTATATGCTATAGTAAAAAGATAGGATTTGCTGTTATGCGTCCAAAAATATTAATCTTCTTAAATAGAAAATTTTGTTTTTGTTTTATCGTTTACTTATAACTGATTATACAATCTACAGCAAGAAAATAGATTAAAATTATGCGAATTGTCTCAAAGCTATTAATGTTGATTTAATTGATAATATTTTGTTTTATTTTAACGAGGAAAATATGGATTTCACAAGTTATATCTCTTAACTATTTAAATATTAGAAAGCACGTTTGTATGCACATTATGTATGCAACTCGGTTATACAGAGTGTATTTTAAGTCCATGTCACATAACTTCAGAAAGCTAATTCTTTGGATCATTTAAGGTCTCACAAAAATCTTATAATAATTAAAAAATCTTAATAAACATAGTTTCTAAAATCAGTACAGTTTTTGAAATGCAGGACATTGAAGTACCTCAAAGAAAAATCACATTTTCTTAAATCTTTAGTTATATCTGATATAAATCTATAAAACCAATACTTGAGTGAACGAGTTATCTAATAAATTTATGTCAAATATAACCTGAGATATTTAAGAGATTTAAGAAAATTAAGAGATAATTAAGGGACTTAAGAAAATTTGATTTTTTTATCAACGTTTATTCAACGTTGTGTAGCTTGAAAATTATTGGTTTTAAGATCTAAGGCTTTTGACTCTAAAGGTCCATCTACAATGAGAGTAGTAAGTCATAAGCCGTAAGAAATTGACCAATCACAGTCGAATATGAGAAGAATAAGCGACTGTGATTGGTCAATTTCTTACGGCTTAAGACTTACTACTCTCATTGTAGATGGACTTTAAAGGTCCATGTACAATGAGAGTAGTAAGTCTTAAGCCGTAAGAAATTAGCCAATCACAGTCGAATATAAGAAGAATAAGCGATTGTGATTGGTCAATTTTTTACGGTTTACGACTTACTACATCTATTATGTTTTGGGACATAAGGTCCATCTACAATGAGAACAGTAAAATCGTAAGCCGTAAGAAATTGACCAATCACAGTCGATTATTCTTCTTATATTCGACTATAATTGGTCAATTTCTTACGATTTACTACTCTCATTGTAGATGGACCTTAAGACTTTTGGATCTTAAATGACCCAAAGCCTCCTGAAGTTATAACATAGATTTACCTAAAATTCATACATTCCGTATGCGCAGATTGACTTTTAACATTACGTGTCACAGTTCAATGTACTCGGCCAATCCTTTTTCCACAATGTCCCACGGAGTTTTGCTGACAAAGTCGCGAATCCCGCGGAGCATTCGTTTTATGTACTCGCTCCAATCAAAGTTACTCATGTCGAATTCGAAAGTCTCGCGATCCACCGCGTTCATTCGTTCCCAAAGTTCGACCACCGCTTTATTCCCGAAGCACCATTGCTGCGTCATAAAATAGGACGTCGCCGAGAGATGAGCGTGTATCAGATCGTAAATCTGGTACCATCTGAAAATCACGAAAGTGCCAAGAGAATTACAACATTTAGAAGAAACGTTACATCTTGCGCAATATCAACATTTTTATAAATTTTCGCGAATTTTTCACTCTTTCTTGCGACAGCGGATTGCTCGAAAAGTATTTTGACATAACTCTGACGATCCGTAAAGTGTACTCTCTAAATCTGAATTAGTGAAAAATCTCTGAAAAATCACTGTTTGAGTCAGTAGCTATAACCTAATCTCACTTAACGCCTTGCATTGCTAATAAATAAGTGAAACAGAATCCGGTGTGCAATTGATGAGAACAGCGAAGTCCGCCCAGTTTCATAATATATGGTTAACGAAAAAGTTAGGTTAACTAAAACTTGAAAGTTTATTAAAACACACTTTCATAAGCTTATAGTCAAATAAACTAAAGGTTACGTGTACGTATCAGTTGAGTTGGCATCAAGTTAACTTGATGGTTAAGTCCTAATCAAACGTTATTAAACAATAAACTTCTTGGTAATTTTTAACCTTTAGTTAACCATACATTGCGAAAATGGGCCTGATTTGTCAATGATTATAGCGATTATTCACTTATTTATTAGTAATTTTCGAGAGTCAATGAAGTTGAATTTCACTGATTACCCTGCAGTGACATACTTGGGACTGACGCATTCAATGAACAACCATTGATAAATCAGTGACTATGCACTGATTCAGATTTCGAGAGTATTTGAAAGAAAGGGGGAAAAAAGAGGAAAAAAAATACTCGACCTTGAATCTCGGCCAGTGAGAATGGCCGCCCCGTCCGCCATGACCGCGGGCAACAAGTGGAACAGGCACATGAGGAGTTTGTGCACCCACAGTCTACTGTTCCAAAACATACACTGCAGCCGTACGTCTCTCACACCCGGTATTCTTGATCCGTGGGCGCGTACGTGTTTTCGAAATGTGTCCCAGGTTATCGGCCTCTGACAGGACGACACGTAATTGTACACTGGTATCCTTTCCACGTCCGGCACGACGCCCGTCACCACGTCCACTTTAAATTCCCTCTCGGTGTTCCTATCAACAAATTTAATTTTTATTTAAATTTTAATTCGTTGAGAAAGTAGCCGGGAATTTTTTTCCCCGCAAAAGAATTCATCCTTAAATTCCGTATTTTAATTAAGATTCAAAAATATTAATAGCTTGCCGCACTGAGAGAAAAATGTTTTGTATTTGTAATTATATTTGCAAAGTACTATAATTATGATTATTACTATTATAATATTAGTAATAATTATATGCATGGTTTTATCGTCCAATATATATAGTTGACATCAACAAATTTTGAAACTTACTATATACTATAGTTATTATTGCCATAAAAATAGCGGCAATTATCATAAAACTGGTTGCAGTTATCATTATTTAACTATAATTTATAGTAAGTTTCAAAATTTGTTGATGTCAATTATATATATTGGTTGACAAAACTATGCACATAATTATTATTAATTTTGTAGTAGTAATAATCATAACTATAGTATTTTGCAAATATAGCTACAAATACAAAAAATTTTTCTCTCAGTGTGTGTAGGCGTTTCTGTCAAACCGATCGATGCGCTGTATAAATTGAAGGTTGAAGGGAATTGAGGAATAGTTTTACATTTAGTGAATAATTTAATTTCTTTAAGGATTGTGACACGAAAGGAAAATTCGTAGATCGACTAGAATATTTTTTTCTGATAGAAATTATCGTCGTTTATAAAGATTATTTCAATATTAAATGATTTATATTGCGCTTAAACCCTTTCTATTGTGCGCTCATTAGCATCGATTGCCAGTCTCCGTCTCGCACAGCCACCTTAAGAAAAAAAAGCGGCATTTGTTAATAAATAGATTAACGGGCTCACCTCGTGCTGGTGCACCAGGCGGCGGCGATCAAGCACGACGTCACGTAATCGGCCGGTACGAAGTCGAGGTTTTTGTCGGTGTGGCAATGTATAGTGCGCAATAGGCCGAAGCTCGAGCTGACCAGGAGGCCGACGGGCCCGTATATACTGCCGGCCCAACCCACAATCGGCTCGCTCCAGGTCGAAGTCACGATAGACGGTCGCACGATGCACACCGGCATTCCGTCGCCGCTGTATCGCAGCACCGTGTCCTCCGCGATCGCTTTCGTGAACGCGAACGTGTTGGGCCAGCCGCCGATCAATCTGAGTTTAAGAGAAAAATGTGAAAGATCGCGCGCTCTGCACAAGGTGGAATAAGAAAAAGCACTCCCTTGCCGCGCGTTTCTCTCTCGCCGAACAGATAACGGACTCGACTGTGTGACTTGATCGACATAAGTGCAAGTCTGTGTTCAATTCGTGATGAGGAGTATCAAGAGACTATACTTGACGCGCGGTCGCGTCTCACGTGCGCGCCAGGCCAAGTATATCTTTCCTAAGGTACATCCTTTCGAGAGCGAGATGCTACAGGCTTTACTCAGGAGGGAGAACGCTTCTTCAGAAAAATAAGCCATTGTTTTTTTAAAATAAATCGATGTTATCAAAAGATGGAGATACTGGAGAAGAATATAGATTAGATCGGAAGAGCACACGTCTGAACTCC